GGTATATCTGCCTTGCACTCATGCTTTTCATTACGATTGTATAAAACCATGGTTAAAAATGAATGGAACCTGTCCTGTATGGTATGTAAAATTATTGTGTTCAAGTATTGATTGGTTTTGATTATAAGGTGTTCTTTTTGACTTTCTTTATAGTCGGTATTCATTAGTCAGTCAGGACAATAATGAACAAAATGGTAATGATGGTACTGGTTCATCAGGTAACAGTAACAGTAGATTCAGGCCACCAGCCTCAACATATCGATTCAGTTCCAATTCTTCTTTGCCTGGAGCATATCCAGAAAACCAGCAGAATAATGGGCAGAATCGTCAAGGTGATTCGTGTGATCATATGGATTTGGATCAAGAACCTGTTGATTAATCAATAATGCTTAAAGTATTGTCAAATTAAAAAGTTTTATTGGAAGGACTTTCGTAATTGTTTTTATTTTTGTTTGTTAATCTGTCCGTGATTTATAAACATTCATATAAAAAAATATGTTCTTAAAAAGAAATTTTCAATGATTAACAAGTTATATTATGCAATTTCTTTTCTTTTCTTTATTTTATTTATATTTCTTATCCTTTTTTCTTTATTTTCTTGCAATGATATATATACATCAAATATGTAATAGACGATTTAACTTTATAGCCAATACCCCCTTTTTTTTACCACAAGCAAGCATAAGATTATTATTATAAATTTCCTTAATCATTATGAAAATTTTTAAAAAAGAATTCTAACGAATGATTTTAAAAATGATTTTAATTTTGTTTTATTATAATTTTGAAATTCATGAATTTTTTTTTTTTTTTTTTTTTTTTAGACAATTAATGCAAAAAAAAAAAAGAATCAATCATAACTGTATTTAAAATAAAACCAATAATAAATTAAAATTTAATTTTCCGTTTTTGTTAGGAGTTACATTGTACTTACCAAAACAGGCAAATTAAACATGATGCCTGACACAAAATTCATTAATTCGTTGATAAGCTTCTTTTAATTTCTCAACAGGAGCTGTAATTACAATTCGAACTATTCAATTAAATAAAAGTGTGTAACGTTAAATAAATCTCGCTGATTTTCACGATACGATGCATATGCATTGCATTGCAAATCATTGATCTGCAATACTTGTACATTTGAATATCACTGGGAATTTGAACATGCTTTCAAGTGAATTTGCTCCCCTTTGTGTTTCGATAGAGATAATCGGTAAAATTTGCCGAAACAGAACACGAAGCAAATTAACAATTGAACAGGGTATGAAGAATAATAAATAGAGCTTACCATAATTAGGATAGTGAAAACTCTAATTAAAATAAAAAAAAAAACTAATAAGATTAGTCATGTCTAATGCGTCTCATTCTCATTTTTTTTTCAAAATTACCTTTCCCGGTAAACATAAAACGGACTCTTCTTGTACCAATTTTTCACTGAACTCCACATCATTTTTTATATCTTTAAATTCTCCCACATTAATTCCAATCATCATGTACATAGCACCTTGGGGTGAAATAACGTGTAAACCAGATATTTTCTTCAAGAAACTGGCACTTAATTTTGCATTTTCTTCTAAAAATCTATTGGTCGTATCATAAAATGATTGGGGAGTGTTCATTATAATATCAGGTATAGCGCTTTGAATTAAAGAATTAGCTCCAAGAATCAAATTTGATAAAGAAGCTAAACCATCACGTATTTCATTTAATAAATTATTACGATCATGTATAAAAATCCATCCAACTCTCCACCCTGGAACCAAATATCTTTTTGCTAATCCACTAATTTTTAAGATCGGAACTGTCTCGGATAAATTTGCTAAGGGATAAAAAATATTATCTCCAAATACCATATCTTCATAAATTTCGTCACTTATTACTGGAAGTTTATAAATTTCACATAACGTTAATATACATTCTAAATGTTGACGAGTAAAATTTGATCCACATGGATTGGACGGGTTGTTTATGAGTAAACAAGCTGTATTATCATCAATTAAAGACGCTAAATGATCTAAATCAATTTCCCAATTACGATCAGGCTAAGAAATTCATACTAGTAACATTAGAAATAGGCATTAAATTGAATCTCGAAAAGAAAGAAAATATTCAACTAACCAATAAATTATAATAACGACATTCAATTCCTTTTGATTCTGAAATAGTTTGATACAGTGAAAACCCGGGTCTTGGAAGAAGGATATTTTGTCCTTCATTGCATAACGCACCAATTGCAAGACCTAACGCATCCGAAGCTCCGCTTGCTACAACGATATCCTAATAATTTAAATTTTTAATCAATATAGAATTAAATGGTAATTTGAAT